TCCTTTGCAAGGACTGGTCCCACCTTGTTTTGCAGCGTTGGGGCGACACAGAGGCCATGCTCATGGGCTGCACAGTTCTATGGTGGTAGTGGCGAAGAGAAGTATAACGTGATGACTGCTACTGCGGTGGACGGCTGCAACTGCTAGTGGCAGTTGAAAGCGGGTTTGCATCCAGGGTTGACAATGAAACTCAGGTACACTTACAGGTCAGCGTTCTGGCAATGCATGTACTCGGCCTGTCTGAAGCAATCCCAAAGCCCAAACTTGGGGTTCAGATGTTGCAAGGTAGAGTGGAACTTGCTTATTGGATTTCAGTGCATGTCAATGTGACCATCACTGACACCTCATCTTGTCTGCTGAACTGTGCTTGTGCGGCCCAAGTGCAGATCAAAGAATCTCAAACCAGCGCAGCCTGAAGCTAGCCGTCAAGCTCTTCGCACCATGCCTGCTGTGATGCGCCTTGGCAGACCTCTGATGTGACGATGACGGTGCTCAAACGATTTGGGGGTTTCCGGAAATTAGAGTACCTTATTTTGGGGTCCTTATAATGAGGATCCTATTATTTAGGGTACTATGTTAGGGTCCCCTATTTTCGGAAACTCCCATTTGTATTATGGGACTAAGAGTGTCGGATGTCTGGCTATTCAGAACGGACGAGCGTGTTGACAACAAGAGATGTAAGGAACTTAGTCGTGCTAGTACTACGAAACAGCGGAGCTGTGTGCAGTAGCTAGAGCATTCGGACTGCCAAGGAGAATGAGCACATTGTAGTAGCTACATGGAGCAACGGTAGTCGTCATGGTCGTGCAGCAAGCTACAGTTGCAGCAGTAGTCGGTGCATATAGCAGAAACAGAAGTACAAGCACATGTATTGTTGTAAGCGTCATTATTATTATTATTATTTAGTCTGGCGTATTATGACTATTGTTCTTATTCCCATTAATGATTAATGGGAATAAGAACAACAGTCATAATAATCATTGTTCTACGAGCTGTCATGTGTGTCGTCACTACTATCATGATTTAATACGGTTACTGTTACTAGTAGTAGCAGTTGTACTAACAGTAGTAGTCACAGTGGTAGTGGTAGGGGCAAGGGCAGCGGTGGCGGTAGTGGTATTCGTAGTGGTAGTGGTAGTGGTCGTCGCCGTCGTAGTAGAAGTGGCAGTAGTGGTAGAGCGTTGCCATTTATGAGCGCTAGGGAGCTAGTCGTCCCGATCTTCACAAGAAAGGATTTGGCGATTTTCCTTTCTGTGCGCCTAGTAGGAGTTAGGATTAGGGGGACCCTTGGGGATATAGACCTCTCAAAAAGGTCCCTTTTAAGAGAGCCAAAAGTAGGGTTCAGAAGGGGTACCCTTTAAGGGGTACCCCTAAGAATACTACCTACCTAGGGCCTAGATGATTGAGACGCGGCTTTTCTGCGGATCGAGGTCCCGCTTCGGAAAGGCAGCTCTCTCTGGCGTCCAGCGCCTGGGGTCGGTGGCTCAGGGCTTCTCTGTGTGACGTTTTACTTTACCGGTGCTGTTCTTGTAGGATTCCCGACAGTCTTAGGGTAGTCTGAAGTTTGACAAGTACCCGTGTACCTGGCAGCCTTCCTGCAACGCCTGTGCCGAGTCTGAAGAGCATGGTGCCTCATAGCCGCTTCATCGCAGCAGTGGATCCAGTCATTGCTCGCGCGTGGCTCGAATGCAAGCTTTGCAGACTTGAAGTTTGAGAGCTGAGCATGTTAATTGCTGCTTGGAACACTCGTACTGCAATCCCTGCTGTTGAAGGCGAAGTTAGTAGCAGAGAAATCAGGCAAAGCTCCAATGCCTCCCAGAGCTGCTGAGGTTCAGCTTTCTTCCCGATACACGCGCATGTATGTAGATCTAAAGTCCACAATATGTTTGCTATTTACACATACCTACCTTAAGAGCCCCAAACCTACTTGTTTGTAGGGTCCCTATAAATCCCATATTAGGGTTTATGATAAGAGCCTACAAAAAAGTGGGTTTTAGGTTCTTAAGGTATACATGGGGGTTTCCGAAAATAGGGGACCCTAATATAGTACCCCAAATAGTAGGATCCTTATTATAAGGACCCCCAAAATAAGGTACCCCTAATTTTCGGAAACTCCCATATGTTTGTTGTTTACACATACCTATACATATTTGGATGGTTGTCAACATGATGGTCCCTTTTTGGGTCCTTAATATAATACGGCAAAAAATATTTAGGGTACCCCAAAAGGGACCCTAATTTTGACAACTACCCATAGAATTTGTCGCACTCATATTCGGGTCTTGGCTGGCACTTGCTCTGGCCAAGGGTACTGTGAAGGGCAGCTATTCATGCACAATATAGTTTATCACATATTTGTGTGGCCAGCCTGCGAGGCGCGAGATGCAGAAGATGACCTACGATCCAGCTAAGGAGGGCGAGGTGAAGGCACCCAACTATGCCTCCAAGCTGCAAGCCCTAATAGGGTTTAGGGTTTAGGGGTTTAGGGGTTTTAGGGTTTAGGGTTTAGGGTTTAGGGTTTAGGGTTCAGGGTTTAGGGTTTAGGGTTTACGGCAAAGGCACAGAGTTCCTGGCAGCTGAACCAGCCAAAACTCGAACCCCACTCCCCAAACGCTATCCTAAATCCCCAACCCAAACGATATGAGGTTGGCTGGGACAAGGAGATTGACGACGATTTCAAGAAGCTGACGGTTGGCCCCGTCAAGGGCGGCAGGCGAGCCGCAGAGCCTGTTTGGGGGCATTGCTCCACTCATGTGGGAGTTTCAGAAAATTAGGGGTACCTTATTTTGGGGTCCTTGTAATAGGGATCCTATTATTTAGGGTACTATATTAGGGTCCCCTATTTTCGGAAACTCCCATGTTTACTCGTAGCGAGTATTGGAATTAAGAATATATTGCGACGACTTATGATGCCTTGGAGGACTTACAAGTCCGAGCATTTAGAGTTAAGAGCTCATGGTCAGTTGCTGCTGCCATCGTTATTCCTTGATTGCCCTTGAAACCTCGTCCTCCGGGCAGGCCTTATGGCAAGATCTGTGATTCCGCCCTGGATTTGATTGGCTTCACCCCGTCTCCGGGCATGCAGTTGACAAATTGTGGTTACTTCTAGAATCAGAAGAGCCTGTGCTATACTTGGTATCAGTAAGAAGCCCAAAAAACGGCCAAATCCCGAGAGAGGTGCCATGAATGCTTGGCCAAGGATGGTTCGCATGTCGCGATTTGCCAAGTTCTTTGCAGCCCGGAAAGCAAGGGTTTAGGGTTTAGGGTTCAGGACCTTCAGGCTTGTCGGGTTAGGTCGAAGAGTCGTCGTGCAACTAGGATGCAGCGCTGCATGCAGGGCCAAGATCAGGCAGACCGCGGCAAGGCCGCGACGTAGTGCTCGGTGCCTTCTTCCGAGGATGTGGATTGCGATCTCCTTGGCAAGGCCGGAGTCGTCCCAGAGAGCCCAATATCCCTTAGAGGAATATACTTTAAATCATGTTAGGGATCCTACTATAATTTAAGGTATACTCCTGAATTAAGGGATATTGGAGTCTCTGGGGTTTAGGGTCTACAGGCGGACGGGCTGTCTAAGGGTCTAAGGGCTGCATGGGGGGGTGTATGGGGGCTGCCTGATCTTAGGGGAAAGCTACCGGTGTACAGCAGATACAGCAGATATTCCCGGTTCTACCGGCCTGCAAGACTCCCGGGCACGGTGACAGACCGGAAAGGTTGAGCTCTTCAACGCTGGCGGCTCTGTCAAGGCTCGGCACCCCTCCCTCCCATTCAAAGATTCATGAAGCCACCTTGAACTATAAAGCCCTAACATCCCTGAAACCCCAGCCCCCACGCTAAACCCCTGCATCTAAGATCACCAGCCGAAGCCTAGACCTGGTCCTAAACTGCTGGGAAGATGAGTGAGGACCGCATTGCCAAGAGGATGGTCGAGGAGGCTGAGAAGCGACTTGGTGTGCGGCTGTGGGTGTGTAACTATCTGATGGACTCGAGGTTTTAAGTTGGGATTAGGATTTATGGGAATTATGATTTCGGGTTTCGGTCTGTGTGACGATACCGAGATGCGCTTCCGGCACGCGCTCGGGTCCGTCTGATTTCCCTCACAAACACGGACGCCATGCGGAAGGGATGCCACATTCCCAGCAAGATCACTCCAAAACACCAAATTCCGAGACCGTCCTAAACCCTAAACCCTAAACCCGAAGGTCCTGCCCGCTGCAACTCCGCCATGTGTTGAACGACAAGGGGTCCTTGACTGAGGAGCGGCCGCATCAAGCCCGGTGGTGTCCTGAGTTGCTGCCAGAGAGCCCTGATCTCTTCTCGGGGCTTTTGGGGCTTGCACGCTTTTGGGGGCTCCAAGGTTCGAAGGCTTTTGGGTGCAGTGATTCGGATGATCAGGGCTTAGGATTCGTGTCGTGGTGTCCTTGGGCTTCGGGTTGCTGAAGCTGCGGGGCATCACACCCCTAAACCCTAAACCCTATAAACCCTAAACCCTAAACCCTATGCAGGCGACATCCTGATCGAGGCCACCAGCGGCAACACAGGAGTTGGACTTTGCCTCGTCTCGGCCATCAAAGGCACCCTTTGGGCACGGGTTTTTCCATGTTTTTTCCACTCCAAGCTTGGGGCTTGGGGTTGTGACTTATGCGGTTGAAGGGAGGAGTTCGACGTTCCACCATGTATTGTCCATGCAGATCACTACTTAGTCTTGGCACCTCAACAGGCTACAAGCAGATCATTTGCTTGCCGCAGCCGGGTGCTTGGAGTGTCATGTCATTTACAGGCCTGCAAAGGGCTCTCTGCCCCAAAGTGGAGACGTTCGCTCAACTTCCGAAAGCCGTCTCCTTAAATCATACATCCATCCCGAGGAAGATGTCCGGCGAGAAGGTGAACACCATGAAGTGCCTGGGAGCAGAGATCCTCCGCACACCGACGGAGGCTCTCTGTTTGCGAACTCTGTCTTGGTTCAGTGCACGTGCGCACACCTGAGCTTGGGGCTTGTGCAACACAGTTCTCCGGTGGAAAGGAAAGTTGCGATTCCAGTATTTGTTCTCGAAGTTATGGTTGTCAAGTCTTGAAACTACTCCCATCCTTGCCCGTGACTGGCACTTTCCACGGCTTTCTCCAGGCTGCCTGGGACGCGGAGGACAGCCACATCTTCCTGTCTGCGCGACTGGCAAAGGACTTGGGTGGGGTCCTCAGGTCAGATCTGAAATTTGCCGACACGAGTAACAGTCAACTTGCCCTCGGGAGTAACAGTCAACTTGCCCTCGGGAGTGTGAGCTCTATAGTGGCGGAAGTGTTTCCGGCCCCATGGACGAAGTAGCCGAGCAGACAGTTGCGCCATAAGCCATGTGCCCAAGCAACAAATGGCCCAGTCGCCCAACATCGAGAAGACACGGGTACAGGGTTCAGGGCTTTCGAGTGTACCCTGAGCCCTAAACCCTATACTGTAGGACCCTAAACCCTAAATTCTAAACCCTAAATTGGGCCTTTTAGAGCTTCTACGACAGCCTGCAAGCGACAGCCGCTCAGGTGGTCACGTGCTCGACCAGTACAAGAACCCCGGCAACCCTTTGGCCCACTACGATGGCACCGCCGAGGAGATCGCCGAGCAGTGCGAAGGTGCGGAGTCTCTGGGATGTCCAGGGATGTCCAGGGCCGAAGGGTCCAGGAGTTTAGGGTCTCTTTGCTCTAAGCTCGCCAGGCAAGCTGGATTACATGATCATGTGCCCTGGCTGCTGCAAGCTCCTGCCGGAGGGAGTTGCTGTTGATGCTAGTGTGGCAGAGAGGGGTGGGATTGAAGTGCAGCCAAGGTCCACTGGTACTGGCGGAACCATGACCGGCGTGGCCAAGAAGCTCAAGGACCGCACGGGAGCTGTGTTCCCTTCGCATCACCCACTTCCGTCACACTACGAAGCTTGGCACTGCCTTGGAAGCTCCATATGGGGGTTTCCAAGAATAGGGGATCCTAATATAGTACTCTAAATAGTAGGATCCCTATTATAAGGACCCCAAAATAAGGTACCCCTCACTTTCGGAAGCTCCCATCTCCACAGCTTTGGCAGTGCAGGAGCTGATTCCCGGCGTGCAGGCCGCTGCCTCGGATCCGGCATGTTCCATCAAAACTTGGGTTTAGGTTTTAGGGGTTTAGGGTTTAGGGTGAAACACTGAATGTTACACATCCAGGTGCCTGTCTGTTTCACGTATCACTTGCATGTATCCATGCCTGTTGCTCAAGGTTCTAGCAGAGTACGATCTACAGCTGTGCGCCTGTAGTAAAAGAGACTCCTGTGTGCCTGTGTTCCTGTACGCCTTAGCG